GAAACTGAATAACATGTCTCACATATTGAGTGTATATTGTCAAATGAAACTGTAATTGAAATGATACTTTAGTTGTGCTGAAATGAAACTACTGTATGTATAAAATCAAATTGAATAACATGTCTCACATATTGAGTGTAAATTATCAAATGAAAATTGTAGTTATATCAAAATGATATTTTAGTTGTGTTGTAATGGAATACATTGTATATAAAATGAAACTGAATAACAATTTCACATATTTGAGTGTATATTGTCCAATGAAAATGTATTTGAATTAGAATTATACTTTAGTGGTGTTGTAATAAGACTGTAGACTGTACGTGCGTATAAAATGAAATTCAATAACAGGTCTCACATATTGAGTGTATAATGTCAAATACTGTAGTTGAAACAAAATGATACTTTAGTTGAGACAAAATGAAACTGAATACGTCATACAAATAGAAGTAATTAGACAAAATGGGTGTTGTCGTTTCTTTTAATTAAAAGAAATGACACAGTTTTGGACCATGGTCCACAAAAAAATTTCCCATTATTTATAAACACAACTGCGTTCTTGTGTTCGCAAATGTTTTATAGTAACGGGTAAAAAATTTTGATTAACTCATTAGTATTATTTCCTCCGTCCCATTTTACATGTCTTACTTTCTTTTATAGTTTATCCCAAAATATTGTCCTTCCTCTAAAATTGAACATCATCATCATTCCACTTTTTTCAATTTAGCTTTAACAGAGAACAAGATAAGATCAACAATTGTGTGTGGGAACTGGGAAGTTCCACACTTCTGAGTAGGTTTAACACTTATGAGTAGTAATTCTTTTAATACATTTGAATGCAAAAAGCGAAATTATTGCCCCGGTACACCACACTTCGACCTTACAGGATTAGTATTTTTAATATGTTTATGTTAACTATTATGTCACTCATGTGATGCAAGTATAGTAATATATATTCAATAAGTATATTATTTATAAAATTTATATAGTGATGAATAAATAAATTATCAAAATATTATATGATATTCTAGCAATCTCTTATCTCTTATTATATAATAAAGTATGTATGCATGGTACCTTGTATCCACTTTTGCTTTATAATGAATTAGTTTTGGGATTGAATAAGAAAGAGCATAGATTCATCATATCACTTGTCAGACTAAAAAAATATCATGGTGATATAAAGAGATCGATACCAAACAACACAATTGAACACAATTTGTGGGTATTTACATAGGCGACACTTAAAAGTTGGAACGCAAAGTGATTTTGGTAGACACAAATTTTGAATTTAAAATTTTAAAATTTTAATTAAATGTAGTAAGCATAACAAACAATGCATATATTTGGAGACTCAAAGGTATTAGAATCTACATCTATTCAACTATTGCACTAAATGTAATATTAGTATTCAATGTTGGTTGTAGGGAATGGGTTAATACCCCTCCTCTGTTTCTATTTGATGTACTTTCAGATGAGGCCATTTAATATATGAATGTAGTTTTTTTTTTTTAAATTGTAATATTAGTAAATACAGGTTATCGTGTGTTGTATTAGAAAATTTCCAAAAGTCTTCCTTGTATTTCATACAGTATTTATAGGAGGTGTGAGGGGGCACATGTCAGTTTCTCGACATGTGTGGAGCATGCATAGGGGAATGTTGGAGGCCTTGATGGTCCCTCCACGTGCCTTGAGATTCATGACTCTCTCGGTCCTACCGCTGTTGAATTTGGCTTAATTGAATGAACTAAGTTTAAGGCTCTAAGTATCACATGTCGGATGGTCGGTCCTGACCTAGCTAATATATATAGTCGGGGGTGAAATAATGAGAACCAGGCTATGTTGGGGAGGAAACTATGTTCGATCTGTGATCTAGGTCGGTCAGTCATGCAAAGAGGTTGGTCATGCTCGGATACGGCTCTAGTCGGTGGGCAGCCTTGGTACCGATCATGCAAACGATACAGTGTGGTTGGAGATAAATCCCTATCAATTATCATGTACTATGTTTATAATATTTGTTCTATATGTCCATAAATCAAACCATAATGTCCATAAATACTAAACTACATGTACATCATATGTATTTTTATTCAGTTTATAAAGTTCATAATATTCCTTATATATGTTCATAAAAACAAAATTTAATTATACTATGAATGCATCATGTTAAAAAATGTTCATCTTGTATTATGTTCATAATATTTATTTTATATGTCCATAAACGTAAACATTAATGTCCATATAAACCACTATATGTTTATAATAGGTTTATAATGTTTTCCTATATGTTCATAAAAACAAAACTTATTGTATATAAACATTACGCTAAACTTATTTTAAAACGGTGCATAGAGTGCCCTCCATTAGTGTAAATGTTGCCCCTCATTTTTTAAAATGGTACATATATTGCCCCTCCCGTACAGTACGGGAGGGGCAATATATGTACTGTTTTGAAAATTGAGGGGCAACATTTACCCCACTAATAATTCAGGGGTGACATAATTGGCATATTATAGGGGCATAAATTACAATTTTCCTTTTTTTTTTCTTTATCAAAAGTTTTTCTGCTTTATTATAGAGTATAAGATATAAGATATAAGATAAGATAAGATAAGATAAGATTCTTCTAAAAAAAAAGATAAGATAAGTGATATTTGTCACTGTTAATAATTGTACTTAATTATCTTATTTTTTAAGGCAAAAACTTGTGTGAGGCCGTTTCACGGATCATTATCCGTGAGACAAGTTGGAATTGTAGATAAACTGGGTGTGTAAGTATCACAATTTCATTTATAATATTATATTAATATATTTATCATTAGTATGTAATAATCAATTTTACCCTAAATAGTATCACAATTTTACATATAAGTATTACAATATTTATCATAAGCAACGATTTATTTTTAATTCAAATTAGTATTAAATTTTTCTACAATAAATATTACAATTTCTTTTATAAATAACATTTCACAAATAATGATATAAGTATTACAATATTTACATTTGAAGTACATTTTGTATGTTTCACAATTCATGTTATAAGTATTACAATATTTATCATTAGTAACAATCATTTTACCCTAAATAATATCACAAATTCACATATAAATAATATTATATTTATTATAAATAACAATTTATTTATTTCAAATTGTTATTAAATTTTCTGTAATAAATATTATGATTTCTATCCTAAGTCATAAAGATGAAAATAATAGTTTTGATAATGATATTATTATTGATCAATCCATTGTATTTAAAAGTATAGGAAGATGTGTATCTATAATGATACACAGAGTCCAGTCAGGATAAAAATGGTAAATGATATATTCTCAACAATATAGGCAGAGAGACAATGAATTATAGTGTAACTTAGAATACAAAGTTCTAATACGCTCCTTAAAGATTTATAGAAAAAAATATTGAGCTTATCCCTTAGATCATTTAGATGTTTGCCAATTGTTTTTTTTATTTATTTATTTTTATTTTATTTTATTTTTTTTATTGGATATGTAGTTTACTTGTAGTTCCTTTGACGTTATATTGTCACGAACAAAATGGTAGTCGTTGAGTTGATCAATTGTCATAGGTTCTTTAGTGGTCAATGAGGAGATTATCGCATGATACTTATTGCGGAGGCCTTTGAATAGATAGAGATTTCGTTCCTCCAAACTAATTGGTTAGTCGGCTTCTGCAAGGATTCCAATTAAAACCTTGGCTTTGTCAAGATACTCACTCGTTGTGAAATCCCCTGGCGCAAAAACTATAGAAACTGTATCTGACTAGTGACTATTTGAGACTCAGATATGGTGCATGAGAAGATGAGCCAAAGACGAATTCAATAGTATGTCATAGGACCCGAGACATGGCATGTCCCACTACAACATACAAAACTTCATCGGACAGAGACGAGATGAGCATGGACAAAATTAAAGAAACTTTATGGACCAAATTTTCGATCGCAACATTGGTTACAATGGAACACTCATATGGAGAATGACTATAACGAAACACTCATTCGGAGCGCAGAGGAACACTCATCTAGAGTGCGGCTACAATGGAACACTCATCTAGAGTGCAGCTACAATGGAACATTCATCTAGAGTGCAGCTACAACGAAACACTCATCCGGAGCGCAATTACAACGGAACACTGAGACTTTGACCGCAGAGAAAGGGAACAATGGAACACTGAGACTTTGACCGCGGAGAAAGGGAACAAGTTAGAGTCTTTCATAACAAATAGTTTGAGGAAGTATGTTTAATGGAGATAAAGTGATGAATTCTTTATAAGGCATTTATCGGGGTTGTAGTTGGATATACAATATTGAAGATGGTGCGAGAAGAGAAAGTGGTGTCACCGGCCGATGGCGGCGCGACAAGGGGTTAGTGGTAGCGGCAATGTTTTTTTTTTTTTTTTTTTTTTTTTTTTGCTTGGTAGGGTTTGTAGTCACGGATGATCTCATTATTGATCAATCCATTGTATTTAAAATATACGAAGATATGTATTTATAAGGATACAAAGAATCTCAGTCAGAATAAGAATGGTAAATGATATATTCTCAATATAATATAAGGATTCTCACTAATACAGGGAGAGGGTGAAGAAATTCTAGTGTGCCTAGAATACAGTGTTCTAATAATAAACAACTATTATAGAATCATCCCGTTCATGGATTAAGATTTGTGAGCCGGTCACACACACAAGTGTGAGTCGACTATTTAATATTTAATAATGCATAACTAAAATTAAACAATTTGTAATAGTATATGGACTAATAAAATAGTCAAACCATTTCATCCTTGATCGGTTACTCGACTAGATCAAATCTGCAAACCAAACTGTCAAAATTTTAAGTGTGAAACGTAATCTCCCTTGATTTTGATTTTTGAAAGGAAGTAATCTCCCTTGATAAAATTTCATAAAATATAGTATGTTTCACTGTGAGAGAAACTTCGGGGAAGCAACGATGATAGTACTGCGTAAGTGGAAAGACGTAAGCTGGAAAACATAGACTGCGTTATGGTATGGTATGAGCCTTATTGGGCCCACTATCAAAGGTAGAATACAAAATCCGACTGCGAAAAGCTCTTACCTTTCTCTGTCCACCAACTTTCATGTTTCAACTCTATCCCCCCTCTCTCTCCCTTTCTCCACCGTCAAGAGATGCTCTCAATTCTGTTTTCTGATTAAAACAAGGTCAGATGTTTTCTGGGTTTCTTTTTCTTTTGTGAATTGTTTTACACCCGTTAATTTTTATATTTTTTTAGTGGTAAAAATTGCAGCTTTGGATGATTTCCTTTGGTAGGACTGATGTTGTGTGCCTTTTACATTGACAGAATCTCTAGCTTTTTTTATTTAAAAAATTTTCCTGAAATCCCATTTTTCTCTTACTCTATTTTTCAAGTTGTAATCTGGGGAACTATATTCTGAATATTTTCATATGCTTGGATTCTTATATTATTAGGGATTGGAAAGCCTGTCTGTTTGATTCTTTGGTTCACAGTCCATTAATAAGAAAACATGCAATATATAAATATATACATCTATCCTTTTTTTGTTTTGGTCCTGATTCCTAATGAGTTTGTGGGTTGTTAGTGATTAATTATTCTGCATTTGGCTGGATAATTGGATTAGTCAATTGCTAAACTTGAACCAGATTTCCTCTCTTTCATTTTTAATTTTGGAATTTCTGGAGTGGGGGGGGTGGGGAGGGGTTAGGGGAGTTGTAGAAGACTAGAAGGGAGGTATGCAGGCCAGTTGAGATATAACCAATGGAAGGGAGACTTCTGTGGAAGTCAATCTGAATGGAAGCTCACTTTCATGTGGCCACTTCTTCAAAATTAGGTGTAGTCCACCACTGTGTTCACATTTACTTTTTCAACTTTGTGGCTGCAAAGTGTACCAATTATATCCAAGAAACTTCTTTAGTTGCGAATGTTGAAAATTGGAGCTTGGATGATGGGAATTAGATGATTTAGCTGATATTAGATACATCAGAGTTTATTAGTCTTCTTCTACTGTATAAACATAGAGCAGTAGCTGGAAATCCTACCGTCTCTAGCAGTCCTAAACTACAAGGAATCCTCCTTTGTGGGTCTTGGACTCCCAAGAAACTAAAGTAACAAGAATTTTACCCAATGTTACTAGGCTTCCCAGGCTTGAGTTTAAGCAACATTCTTAAACTTAATTCAGGAATACTTCACCTATTCTAACGAACATTAACATTCACAGTCCCAGGGTTGTTTGACAATGCCTTGTTTTATCCATCTATTATCTTGGTAGGGCTTGTTTCTTTGGCGATGGGAGATTTAACTCATGTTTGATGTTTCAGAATCTGTTTAGTTTGAAGAATTCATGGGGGGCAAAAGTTCAAAACGCTCAGCTACAGGTCGCTATGCATCTTATAACTCGGGCTCTTATAACAGTGGCTCTTATTCAGGGCATTATGGTTATTCGCAAGCATATCCTCAGCCTAGCTACACGTATGCACCACCACCTCCTAATCAAACATATGGTGGCCCACCTCCTGAATCAAGGAAACGACTGGAAAGGAAATTTTCAAAAATAGAAGATAATTACCACACCTTGGAGCAGGTGAACTAACTTACTAACAATTGTATTTCAAATGAAAAATGGGGAACTAAAGGGACTCGTCTTTGATGCATGGTAATGTTATTTATATTGAAAACCAATTGCTTCCTCTGGTAGTTGGAGTCAGGTATAGTTAACTGTAGTGCTAAAGTTTGGGGCGGACGACATTTGTGCGAGTTGAAAATACAGAAATAAGAAATGATTTTTACAGTAGTATATATCCCCATATTTATCACTAGCATTTGAATTGTATAATGGTTGTAGTTTTACACTTCCTCATGAGCATTTTCTGCTACATAGCATAGGTATATATTCTTCTACAACTTTTTTGTAACAAACTGTGGATATTTTTGCATCATAAGTAACTTACGCTTTCCTATTTGCACCATCTTTGACCAATTGATGTGAGGAATTGGTTATTTGAAGTATTGTTTACATGAAAGCATTGATGTCTATCATTAGGAACAAATTCCCCCCCTGTATTATAGTGAATTAGTGATAATTTGTTATTCTTTCTTTAGGTAATGCATTGTTAGAAACAATTTATCTTTTCTGAACTCCAATTCGAAATTATATCATGGGAAAATTGCACTTTTCGTCCCTATGTTATAGGGTAATTGTAGGATTGGTCCCAATTTGTTGGTCATGTGTAGTTTTTGTCCCTAAGTTATAACTGATGTTGCAAATTTCGTTCTTTTTCTAACAGGTCGTGCTCACTTCTCATCCCTAGGCTATAACTGACGTTGCAAATTTTGTCCCTAATATTTTGTTAGAAAAAGGATGAAATTTGCAATGCCAGTTATAACTTAGGGACGATAAGTGAACACCACCAACAAGTAGAGGGACGAATCCTACAATTACCCTATAACTTAGGGACGAAAAGTGCAATTTTCCCTTATGTTCATTGTTCATATGGTTTTCCCTTTGCTGAGTGATAGGGTCTTAAATAGTGTTTGCCTTCATTTGTGCAGGTCACAGATGCCCTTGCTCGTGCTGGTTTAGAGTCTTCAAACTTAATTGTTGGCATTGATTTCACCAAGAGCAATGAGTGGACAGGTATAAACAGATTTGTTATTCTGTAAATTTTTTTGTTCAAGTTCTTAACCTGTGCTAAATATGCTCTAAATTAGGTGCAAGGTCATTCCACCGAAAGAGTTTGCATCACATTGGGAATGAGCCAAATCCATATGAACAGGCAATATCTATCATTGGCAGAACATTGTCAAAATTTGACGAAGATAACTTAATTCCATGTTTTGGATTTGGAGATGGTACTTCTTTTTATAAATTAAAATTTCATTTTTCTTTTATAATTCAGTATTTCAGTGCCCTCATTACTGTACTTCACAAAGATCTTATGTGGCTCTTCTTTTGCAGCCTCCACACATGACCAAGAAGTTTTCAGTTTCTTCTCGGATGAGAAGTTTTGCAATGGATTTGAAGAGGTTATGAGTAGATATAGGGAGTTAGTCCCTCAGCTACGACTTGCTGGTGCTGCATCTAGTCAATTGCTCATTCTGATTGCTTTTATTTGATAAGTGTATCACCATTTTTCTTTATTTTTTACAGGGCCAACGTCTTTTGCACCAATTATTGAAATGGCCATCACTATTGTTGAACAAAGCGGTGGTCAGTACCATGTCTTACTGATTATTGCTGATGGGCAGGTAAAATGCATCTTGCTAGTAACAAAATATGGTCATTTTCTTTCATAATGTGTATATTTGCATTGTCTTTCAGAATTTCGTGTAATCTGTTTTTGCTTCTTTTCTTTCCTATTCACAAATTTTTGGTGACACAAAGAAATTCTCCATTGTTTAACATTTAATAATGGCATTATCTATATATATTGAAGGGGAGAAAAAAGGAATAGTTTTGAGAGCTTATAACCATATTTGGAATTTCCAGTTATCATATTAGCGAAAGTTTTAGGGATCACATTACTGCTGCTAATGAAAGTGTCTAAGCCTATTTCAAATCACTGTTGAGAATAACGTAGTTACTATTCACTTTGATAACTTCAGGGTTGCTACAGAATATAAGAGGGCGTTTGGTACTTTGCCATCAATTAAATTCCTGGGAAAATATTTTCTAGGAATGTATTTGATGGGAATAACTTTGCAGGGAAAATTAATTAACATGATTGGTGTTACTATAGAAACATAAGGATTAAATTACCTAGAAAATTAATTAAGATGTTTGGTTTGTTTAAACTTTCTCATGAAATTTTTTAAAATCTCTAATACATCTTTGCTATAGACAAACATTAAAAAGAAAAAAACATAACGAAGAATTGAGAGTTTAATAAATCACTTGTAAATTAATAAACCATATGCCAAAAAATTCTAGCCTGCAACAAGAATATTCAAAATTCAAAACAGTAGGTATGTAAAAAAGTGTTGAGAGAGACAAATTTCTTCGATAAATAGTGTTGTTTTCCTTTGTAATGGTGGGAGAGACAAATTTCTTATATTTATAAAAGATTTTTAACCTGGTGCCAAAGAGGATAAATATGTAATTGAATAAATTTGGTAGAATCTCAGTCACTCGGGGAAAAAAATCCTACCTTCCCTAGGTGAGATTTACTTTCCTTGATATCATGGAATTAGACTCGAACTTTCCTAAGTCAAATATTGCACCAAACGTGGGAATAATGTCCCCACCTTTTAAATTCCCAGGAAATTTTGAACTTTCATGGCTATCAAACGCCTTCTAAATGTGGAGCTGTGTAGTGTTTTAAAACATATACATTTTCCAATAGTTACTCCAAGGGTGTCTATTCACCGACTATATGATGTAATTTTTATATCATGTACAACATCTAGAATGATTTCTCAAAAATCATCATATAAAATTTTATAGGTGACAAGAAGTGTAGATACTGGACGTGGTCAACTAAGCCCTCAGGAAAAGAAAACTGTTGAAGCAATAGTGAAAGCAAGGTAACAACCAAGTAATTGTATTATTTGACTGTACCCTTAGCACCCTCCCACCCCCCGGTTAAGGAGGGACCAGAAAACGTCTTCCATTCACCACCCCCCCCCCCTAACTGCTTTTTTAAAGTATTATATATATTTGTTTGTAGTGAGTATCCTTTGTCAATTGTCTTGGTTGGAGTTGGTGATGGCCCCTGGGACATGATGAGGGAATTTGACGATAATATCCCTGCACGAGCCTTTGATAATTTCCAGGTAAGAAAACCTCATATTATTATTATATATTGTTGGCAATGATTTTCTTCTGTCTTCAGGTTTATGCAGCTTTCGATAGAATTGACACCTTTTCGTCTCGTCCCCTTTAGTTTGTGAATTTCACAGAAATAATGTCAAAAAATTTGGATAGATCCAGAAAAGAAGCAGAGTTTGCCCTTTCAGCATTGATGGAAATACCTTCTCAGTATAGAGCTACACTGGAGCTCAACATATTGGGGTAAAAGTCGCATTTGTCTATTTGGACCTATTGTCCCACATGTGCATTGAACATATACACATTGTTTCATTTATTTGCATTTTTCGAGCAGGACAAGTCGAGGGAAGGAAATTGACAGGGTGCCTCTTCCCCCTCCTCGTTACGGCACAGATTCTTCTAGGACGGCAAAACCTTCACATAGTTATTCTGGTCCAAGTGCACCTTCTTATTCTAGACATGATTCATCTTATCACACGAGTCAACCTCCAAGTTCTTCCGACAACCATGTAAATACATTCTTCTTGAATAAATGTTAGCTCTAATTCTGTATTTAATTCATAATTTGAAATATTTTATCTTCTATTCGTAAGACATTAACAAAGGTTATTAAGTTGAAAGGTTGAACCTACATTACATGCTGCACTTTTTTAGACTTGCCCAGTTTTCCTATGAAATCATTATCAGTGATTAGTCCACTCATTTTTACAGCTTTGTCCTATCTGCATTACAAATCCAAAAGATATGGCTTTCGGTTGTGGACACCAGGTATAGTTTCATTTATTTGTGTACTTCCTTAATTGAAACTGTTGGGCGGATGCTGGTGAAGGGCCAAGTCCAGCCCCAGGGGGCTAGGGGGATTGTTGGACTTGACAGGGGCCTGAAGGGCCAAGTTCAGCACCCTGCCTCTCGAAAATGTGGCGGTGTAAGGAAATAAAGTTGCGCCTTCGCTACGAGCTATAGCTTTTGGCGTACTAGTAAGCCAAGTGGTATTTGAGCTAAATCCAGTTAAGGTTGACAAGTGTTTTTTTTTGGGGGGGGGGGGGGGGGGGGGGGGATTGTTGGGCGGGGCCTAAAGGGCCAAGTCTAGCACCCTGCCTCTTGAAAATATAAGTTGCGCCTTTGCTACGAGCTATAGCTTTTGGCGTAGTAGTAAGCGTTTGATCCTAATAGAAACCATTTAGAGAATGCCTCTTTGACATATCTTCTTTCTGCAGACGTGTTGCGAGTGCGGGCAAGACCTTCACTCATGTCCAATTTGCCGGGACACCATTACCACAAGGATAAAGCTTTACTGAGTAATACTCGTTTCAAGATTCCACTAAATAGTAGCTGTCGTCTTGATGCTTCCAAGAACACTAGTTATGGCAATGGCGTTATGCTGCACCAATCGTTTTATAACCTGCGTTGGAGCTTCCACCCTCTCGCACTGTAAATAACCCTTTCCTATTCTCGATCTATTAAGTTGGAGTGAGTTGATTTTAGAATTACATATCGTCGATACCTTGTTAAACTGGGCAAACCTGTGCTCATGTTCCTCTTATGGACTTGCAAATCATGGTCTCTTTTCGGTTTGTCTGTCTTCTCCAATAAACACATCCGGCATCCCATGATTGTATTCTAGGCTTGCCAGTTTTTTTTTTTTTTTTTTTTTTTTTTTTCTTTCATAATATTTTAGGCCTTGTGTCACCTTTATTTGCAGACTGTACAGTGGAGCACCATTTATTTGATTAAGTTTCATGCACAGAGCCAGTGAATCTACATTCTGATATACAATTGAGTGTTACAATTCTAATGTTCTTCTTCTCCCCAAAGATTGAATCCCCAACCCCAATGATTCTCCACACCCCAGCTTGACAGAGCATTTGGGAGGATCTAAATTACGGTGACTCAATAGCTTAGCAGACAGGGTCAAATACCGGTTCGCACAAGGGATTTGTCCACTTTGGGCATAATTTCTACACTGCCACTATTGAGATTCGAACATTGGTCTTGTCTCCCAAATATTGAACCAGTAACCACTTTGGTCTTTTTCTCTCAACTATTTGTTGTGTTTTTCATTCTGTGAATCAAACATGACGAGATATATTATCTCATCTATTCTTATCCTTTATATAATAAAGCTATATGGTTTGGGAAATATTTAATGTTACAATTAATGCAACAACATCCTTAATTAAAAAAAAAAAAAAAAAAAAACATTTAAAAAATAAAATAGCTATATATTATATAATCATATAAAAATATACTTTTGAAAAATAAAATAGCTATATACTATATAATCATATAAAAAATGTGTTCAATTAGAGTTTAAATTTACACCTACAAAATTTGAAATTTGCTTTCCAAATGTAATTATCTTAGTTATTATTTGTATTGTAAAAATTATAATATAGATGAAATACAATTAAGAATAAATCAATGTAATTATGTAAATTCTCTCTATAAATTTATTTGAATATGCACATAATTAGAGATTATATTAACCATACAAAATTATAATTTTAATTTTAATTGTAATTTTGTATTCTATAAAAATAATAAATACTTGACCAATGAAAGCTCAAAAATATTATTAATATTAAATAATTTAAAATATTTTAATTTTTTTATTTTTTATTTATATTTATAATAACATAATTTTTTCCCGTGCATCGCGCGGGTGAATTACTAGTAGAGTATATATGTGGTGATGTCTCTCTGTTCAGTGTTCACTGATGAAAGGAAATTATATTTTTCTGTTTTTTTTCTTTATAAAATACCAATATTCTATAATTAGTTTATTACTGATAATGTTTTTATATCAGGTAATTTTCTTGGCATGAAGATGAGTAATAAAATTGGGACTTATTATACACAATAATCAAAGTTGAAAATATACCAATCCCATCCCTTCCCCCTATACCCCAATTTCTATATAAATCCCCTCAATATTCTCAATTTTCCTTACAAAATTGCAAAATCTCCTATGTATGTGTAGAAACTTAGAATGCAACTCTTACCGGGCGTTTGGTTAGAAAGGGAAAATTATGTGGGAAAGGAATTACAATTTCATGGGAGATGAATTACTGGGAATAAAGTGAGAATTTTAGGAAACTCATAACTGGCAATACATATACTGAAAAATGTAATATTCCATACTATCAGGAATAAAGTGTTTATTACTTATATAGAAAAATATAATACTTTTGAAGAAAAATGTAATACCTTTACATTTTTCCTCATAAGTATTACATTTTCTATTATAAGTAACAAACACTTGTTAACATTACTGTAACACTTTTATTAAATATTTTCAAAATGTAAAAGTATTGCATTTTTCCTCAAAAGTATTACACTTTATGTTAGAAGTAACAAACACTTTATTCCTGAGTAGTATTACATTTTTCAGTATAAGTATTACATTTTCATATTAACATGACCTGACCTGTCTCACGGATAAGGATCCGTGAGATGGTCTCACACAAATGTGACCCATATGAAATTAATTATTAAAAATATTAAAATTTTCATTTCATTTAAGATACGTAATATGGGCATGGTTGAAAAAATCGATAAGCGCTCGGGGGACGCCTAGCGCCCAGGGAGCCTAGGCGGCGATTAACCAGCGCCAAGGTATCCGTTCATTTTTTTTTATTTTATTTAAAAAAAAATTGTTTAAACTTTTTAAATTTTTTAAGACTTGATAATAATAAACTATTGGGAAAATGGTCAAATAGGCCCTCGAACTTTAGCTTAAAAGTCAATTAGGCCCCTAAACTTTTTAAAGGTGCAATTACACCCATCAACAATTCATTTAAGTACAATGAAGTCCAAAAATAAATTAATGACCTGCTATCACAGGTCATTAGGGTTCAAGCCACCTTCTGGCGAATTTTTCGGCAAAAAAAAAAAAAAAAGTGACCGGCGAAATTTTCGGCAAAAGAAGTGACCGGCAAAATTTTCGGCAAATCTGGGTCGGTTGCTAGTCACCTTTTTTATGTCGGAAAATTCGCCGGAAGGTGGCCTGAACCCTAATGACCTGTGATAGCAGGTCATTAACTTGTTTTTGGGCTTCATTGCACCTAAGTGAATTGTTGATGGGTGTAATTGAACCTTTAAAAAGTTTAGGAGCCTAATCGACTTTTAAGCTAAAGTTCGAGGGCCTATTTGACCCTTTTCCCTAAACTATTTAATACTTAAATAGTTAATACTAAAATATTAAATATTAACCTAAAAACATTTAGAGTTTGAACAATTTAGGGTTATTTCGCTAAAAATAATGTCGTTTTAAGTGCAATAACCCACTTAAAAAAAGAAAGGAACAGTAGCTAATCGGTCGACTAGGCGACCTAGTCGGTGCGTAGGAGGCCTAGGAGACCTAGGCGGTCAGGGCTTAGGCAGCGTAGGTGACGCTTAAGCAACCTAGTCGGCCGCCTAGCCGACTAGCCACCTAGACCAACGAGTATGGTGATACGCTAGGTGGCCGGCCAGCGCCGATTAATCGGTGCCTAGGCGGGATTTTTGCAATACTGAATATGGAAATAATCAAGTAAATAGTATTAGAAATAAATTATTTCCTAATACTGATTTATATAATAAAGGTTGTAATTCTATAAGGTACTCATGATGATGATTAGTGATGTGTAAAGGCGGAATTATTGGGTGAAATTCCTCCCTCTCATTATGTTAAAATTTAAGTTTATAAGTGTTAAAAGATGTATAATGGAAAAATGTTATGGGTTTCCTAAAATGAGGTTTCAAATTCCTAAATGGATTTGTATTCCTAAAAGAAGTTATCCATTCCTCTTGAAAGAGGTTTTCTCACCACATCTATAAATACCCAGGAAAACTCTAGGGATTATAAGATTTCTAGTCTCTAAGTTTTCTAGTCTCCATATCATCAGGAGGTGATTAAGGTATACATATTAGAGGTAAAGCATTCTTGATTTATATTGTTTAGTTGATTGATTTGATTTACATGCAATTCATTGTTAATTGTACGTGCTTCCGCATTCAAGTCATATCGCATAAGAATTACTACCTCCGTCCCATTTTATGTGTCTTAGTTCGGTTAACGAGGCTTGACTGAAGTTATTTTTAATCTAATTTTTCATAATATTAAGTTTAGTATTTGTATACAAAATTTATATACTTAGAAACTACACTAAAAGTACTATTAAACACAAAAAATCAAATTTAAAAATAAGTAAAAAATACTAAAGAAAATAAACAAAGAAAAAAGAGTTAGTTTGACCTAATGAATAGTTAGTAGGACAAATAAAATGAGACAGATGGAGTATTTAAGTATGAGCCAGATTGTAAATTGATTAACCACTGCAATTAAGGTTCGTGATATTTGGATGTGGAATCTTTTGGGTTCGTCGATTATTTGGAATCAATTGATTGCCACTGTCAAAATTCAATTCATGTTTAAATTATGTTTTGTCATCATATGGAATCAATTGCTAACGCTGTAAGTACTGTTTATATATATGTATATATGTAAAATAAAATTGATTTGCATAATTTTCATGAAATCAAATGTGCAAAATGTATACTGTTAACAATGGAATCAACTGTTGACATCTGGGAATATAATCTGGAATCAAATTTTGCAATTGGTTTCGAAAATCAATATATACAAATATAATCCTACTGCTTGTTCTCGACGACGGAGCCTGGCGTGGCTGGATTTAGAATCAAAGACGGCGACGGTGGCAGAGGTGTTTTCCCGGCATCACTGCTTCTCTTCTTCTTCAAGCTTTGCCGGCGACCGGGTTGACGGCGGCAAGCCAAGCGGCGCGGCGGACAGTGGTAAACCTACGGTCTTGGTGGCGGCGACTGAGGCGAGATGGCGGTGACGAGGAGGGATGGCGGTTTTCGGGTAACGGTCGCAAGCGCCAAGCAGACGTGCAGGCTCCGGCTGGCCTCCTTTCCAGCATCTCTCTCACGTTTTCTCCATTTTTGTTGGCTGCGGATGAATGTTGTTCTTTGCAGGTATTGCAGGGTTATGGCAAATCAAAGATGGAGAATGTAAGATGGTATAAGGGAAAGTTATGCCGTGAGCACGTGCCCACTCAAGTGGGCACAGTTTTATATTCATAATTTCTATATTGTAAATTTATAATTTCTATATTGTATTTAAAACACATTTAAAAAAAAATGTTGTATTTAAAGCGTTAAGGATTTGTTTTAAATTATACGTTCATTTGGGATTAATTATGGCGGGAGGTTATATCCATTATTAATTTATATATATGTTTATAAATGAATTATTAGCATAAAACGACTGTGTTAGTCGCCAAAGCGGCCCACTCAAAGTAATAACTAAATAATCATTTATGTTTATGTTTACAACATATATATAAATTAAGGTTTACTTACATAAATGATTTACTAGCATAGGGGGAGTGTGTTAGTCGTCAAAGTGGCCCATGTTTATATTTACAATATAAATTGAGGTTTATTCACATAAATAAATTATTAGCATAAGGCCAGTATGTTAGTCACCAAAATGACCCACTCAAGGAAATAACTAACGCGTGGAAAGGCATCTCGACGGCAGCCCATATCCTGAAGGAAGGAATCCACTGCTCCATTGGGTATGGTCAGGACACGTATTTCTGGACTGATAGGTGGCTTGGTGACTACTTGCTGATGGATGTTGCTACTAATGATATCCCCATTAAGGAATGGAACTGGAGGGTCAGAGATTATTGGCATATAGATATTGGTTGGAATCTGTTGCATTTATTAAATTTCCTGCCGCATTATATTATCAACAGCCTT